GACAAACCAAACACTGGCTCCTACATGCTTTGAAGAGCTTTATTCAAATGGTTGCAATCTGCAACTTGCCACTAAATCCTGAGACTCAATAAAACAGGGCATAAAAACAGATGGATTTCTCTGCGAAATGATGAAACCCTATCTTGGGTAAAGTCATGAAACTGCTGTCAAGAAGTAGTTTGACAAGTTATGCACACAGTCTGCCTTTCTTCTGTATGTACTGAGTGTTTTGATTTAAGAATTCTAATGCCTTATGGAGTTGGCAGAATTGCCTATGTTACTAAGTATACTAAACTAAAATTGAAACTATTCTGTTCACCATATCAGTAAGATACCCGTTATGGTTTGCCTGGTTACTGAGAGTCTTTTGGTGTGACAGCTCCAACAGTTCTGTAGTTCTCTCACACCAACAGCTGCCTCAGGGTCTTTATGCAACTCACTGTCCAGGTGAACATCCTCTGTTGCACCCGACAGTGTAACATCAACCTACACTGTAATGGAATGGAATTAAAGCATGGACCACTTCACTTTAGCAACTAGCAAGACATTTTTTGGTAAATAACTTCATGTCAAACCATTCTTTCTGGCAAGGTACGGCTCAGTGATGATGCAGTGTTGGCAGCTTATTTTGTTGGGTTTTTTTGTTATGTTACTGTCTGCTGATTTTTGACCACCAAACTTCGACCACCGCACTGTTTAGTTTCTCTGCTTGCTTTTGGTTGATATTTCAGTGAATGAAACAAATGAAGCAAATCAGGTAGCCTCATAAAGCAATTTGGTAACGCCAGTAATGCTGATGACCAGATTACACAAATGCACACATAAACTCATGTGTTATTCAACAAGTTGAAATGAGCGAAGAGTACTTCACCGCTTTAGCATAGCATGACTATAAGATTGTCAGACTTATGATGGACAGAAAACAGTGAGGTTTAGGATAAGAATACAAATATAAGGTAAATGTGTAACTGTTAATGCCATTTTTTGGCCACTAGTGTCAAATGAGTTATAGTTTTGGCAGTATTTTGAATTTGAATTCTTTAAAATCTATCTTCAGAGATCCTCAGTCTCAGAAACATCATCATTACCAGTCATTTTAATCCCCCAGGCTCTTTTTCTTGCTGCCACTAGGTTGTGCTGTGCTTCTGCTGTTCAGCTTTCCACTGCACAGAAAACATACATTCACACACATGCACACTCACACACACAACTCAAAATCAGTTTTTCTCCAGGGGAGCTGCAGTAGCAGCGGCTAACTCATCCCCCTCCTGTGTGTGTGTTTATTTCATCAAAGTGTGAATGTGATGTGTTTAGCTTGTGGGTGGAAAGAGAGAGGGAGGAGGGGGCGGCTCCGTCAGGGACTGAACGTGGACATCAGAGAGAACCAGGGACACTCTCACCTTCCTCTGTCCAATCACTGGCACCTCTGTCTTCATCTTCCTCTCTATCCAACTGTTTCCCTCTCTCTCTCTGACTTCCACAGTCCCTTTTTTGTGTGTTCTCTCTCAGTCTCTCTCCCTCAGATATTTTATATTCTCTCTATTGCTGACATCACAGAAAAAAACCCTCACAGATCCAGTTCTGGTGAGTGCCATGTTCGGAGTTGAACTCTGTGTTTACGTCGCACTTTCGCGGCCAGAGCAAGATTCGTGTCCCTCAGGCCTGTAAAACCTCAGTCACAACTTGTGGAGAGAAAAAATCAAAAAGCTGTCAATCTGACAGGAAGACTGCCTGAATTACATAACAGTCATCTTTTTGAAGTTTGGAGATGCAAGAAGGCGAGCTGCAGTATTCTGCCGCTCTGTCCAGGCACTCATTATGAGGGCAGACACACACATATACAGACCTACAGACAGCAATAGAAATCACACACGCACATGGAAACACTAAACATCGAAGCATAAACATAGAAATATGTGAAATGGATTTATCTGCGTATGTGCAGACACTTTTGTACATTTTGGACAGTCGGACTAGGGTCTGTCTGACAGACATTGGACACACACACACACACACACAGAGGACGGTTGATTTTTGGGAGTAATAGAGCCTTAGAAAATAACCCAAATGATGTCAACATCTAAGGTTGTGCTTGGAGAATACAAATTTCTAACACAAGGCCTGCATAAACTTTGGACGTGGAGTTTGAAAGACACAACAGGGATGGTCTAATGATTAAAAATTGCTTTGTTTTCCTTTCCAAGTATTCTAATTGTCTCTGTGAGCCACTGCTGCAGCTGATATTGTTGCCCGGGCTGGTACACTTGTACACACTATGTACAGATGGGTGACAATTTAAAGGAAAAACCAACACAAACCTCCTAGTCTCTAGAACCTTCTCCTTTCCCCAATGGGGGTTCGATTGATTCACATCATTCTCATTCTCATCAAACCATTCAATGACATCATGTCCTGTTTGAAAGCATCTGCATTTGCCACATTTCTCCATTTATTAATTCAACTTTTTCCTTTAACTTGTGACCTGTCTGTAAGTGTAATACTAAGTTTAATTAATAGGTGTGTTCAATAAAAAAGTCTGACGATGGAAAAAAAACCACTCATTTTATTAATGATATTTCATCCTCAGACTTTCATATGGTCATTCATATAATGTTTGTATATATGGTAGCAGTGTTGTTTGTCTATATGAATTTCACCTAATGAGGGTGGGAAGACCGAACGTCGCTAATAAAGTGATATGATAGTTTTTTGTTCTATTCATATAATAAAATATAAAATCAAATGGAAGAAAGCTACAAATCCTCATGTTTGGGAAACTGAAGAAAAAGTGATAAACTTGTTAATCCCTCATCAACATTGTTTAATCGATCAGCTAATCAATCAGTTGACTAATTGTCACTTCTTCCGGAGAAGGACATCTAAATATTCATCGAGGTCATTAATTACATTTCAGTTGAAAATTGGATTTTGCAGAAGGTACAAATTATGTTTTGGATTACTTAAAGTTTAAATACTCTCTCATGACTTCAGAGGCGAAATGATCTGCTGCTTCTTTGCAGTGTCACAGCAGCTGGGTGTTCATATTCCAAACACTAAGTACTCTTCCGTTTCTTTTTCCCCGTCTTCTCCAGCCCTCTCTGCATCTAATAAGATCCTCTCACTTTACATCATGACTGAAATAAACTCCTCCTTCCACAGCTTGAGGGATTCAGAGAGAGACAGATGAAAGGGAAAGATGACATCATGGTTGGATTCTGCAGTGAAGGCTCATGTGTGAAAGCACTGCAGCAGAATCTTATACACCACGACCTCAAACTAATTCACGCCCCATCTCGGTCGCGCTCCCTCACACCATTAAATTCTCACACTCCTTCTGTATCCCCCGCTTCACCTAATAAAGCCTAAGAAAACATGTGATGGGAAGTAGAAGGCAAGCAAACACCTGCCTCCACTCATCCTCTGCTTTTCTACTCTGCGGTCACTGTGACAGTGAGAGAGTGACAGGCAGAGGTCAGAGAGAGGAAGCTGACACATCTGAGGGATGTTGCATTAGTGGGCCCTCCAGTCCCTGTAGAGGCACACTGTGAGCTTTGTTTCATTGTCTCATAGAAAGTAACATCTCAAAACATGGCAGTAACTCATAGTTATCTAGTGTTTTAAATGGCATGCTGCCGTCGCCTGAGGTGGGGCTGACTCTTGTGTTGACGTGTTAATGCTGATTAGCCAAATTGACGTCAATCTTGAAGTCGTATTATAATACATAACCTTATAATTGCACATTTACAAGCCTCAAAATAGTAAAGGATAATAATTGGTGTCAGCCGTGTTTAGATCTGTTTTGGGATTAATGTTTATACACTTTTTTTTCTTACCTTTATTTATTAGGGTTATTCCCCAGGAAGCTTCCTGGAAAGAACTGTATAATTTGGGACCAATTATTGGTAAAACAACTCAACATATATGAAGAAAAAAGTTTGCAATAATTAATGAAGTATGAATTACTTTTGACTTGGGTTGAAATGGAGCACGTTTTTTAAGGAAATTCTTCTCAATCAAAGTGAAAAAACTCACAAGCATCACAGCAGTTCCTTCTATACTGTCCGCATAGAGGCTGGATAAATTATCTGGAAGATGA